CAGACACATAGACCAGTGGAACAGAATGGAGATTACAGGGAAAAAAGCCCCACAGCAATACCCAGTTGATTCTTGACAAAGATACCAAAAACATATACTGGAGAAAGTATATAATAATATAAATGGTGCTGGGGAAACCTGATATGCAGAAGACTGAAACTTGACCTCTGTTTATCACAGTACAAAACCAAGATGGATCAAACACAAACACCTCAATATAAGAAACTGAAACTCCGAAACTACACAGGGAAAGCCGGCTAAACAGTTCATGACATTGCTAAAGGTGATGATTTTACAGGACGTCAGAAGCACAGGAAACAAAAGCCAAAGCCAACAGCATTACATCCCACTGAAAACCTGCAGCGCAAACAGCAGTGAAAAGAGCCTGCAGGGTGGGGGAAAGTGGCTGCCAGCTACTCATCTGACAGTTAATATCCTAAACATAGGGAATTCAGAAACCATTAACAAAAAAATCGCTGAAATAGGGACAGTCAGACACAGAGCAAGTGTCAGCTCCCAAGAGAGCAAGGCAGGAAGATCATGTGAGCCCAGAATTTAGGGGCCATCCTGGGCAATACAACAAAACCCTATTTCAGAAGCAGCAAAAATAGGCAAATAATCCAAAGAAATACTTCTCAAAGAAATAACGAGTGTCCTACAAATACATGGGAAAAACGCTGAGTAGCTACCATGGATACTGTCTTATTGCAGTTAGAATGGCTAACTTCACAGATATTGGAGTGGATATGGAGAAAAAGAACTCAAACACTCTTAATGGGAATATAAGTTCTTACAGCTATAGAGAACAGTTTGGAGATTCCTAAAATTAAAAAAAAATAAAAAAAATAAAAACTCCCAGGCCTGGAGAGATGGCTCAGTAGTTAAGAGCACTGACTGCTCTTGCAGAGGACCCAGGTTTGAGTTCTAGCACCCATATGGTGGCTAACAACCATCCATAACTCCAGTTCCAGGGGATCTAACACCTTCTTCTAACCTTCACAGGGATTGCACAACACAGGTGCACTTACACACATGTAAGCAGTGCACTCATACACATAAAATAATAAAATATTTTTTTAAAACTCCCCATAGAACAACCACATCTGGTTATTTATCCAGAAGAAATGAAATCAACAAACCAACAAGATACCTGCATACCCGTGTTTACTGTGGCACTATTCACAATAGTACACACACATACTCACACTGGAATATTATTCACCTGTCATTTGCATCAAAGTAAATGGAACTGGAGGTACCGTATTAAGTGAAATAAGCCAGAGACAGAAAAACAGGTACTGTGTTCTCCTAACTGGAAGTTTAAATATGGGCCTGAAAGTAGAATCCTGACGGGGGTGGGGGGCAGGTGGGGAAGGTTGGAGGATATGATCAGTGTGTGCTGTGTACATCTGTAGAACATCACACTGAATCCCATTAACAGTCAAGTAATCAATGTTAATAAGAAGCCCTACAATAAGATTTCATTTGCTTTATTTAACCAGTAGCTCCCATAAGCATTTGGACACAGAATATGGGAATGTGGTGTTACCTGATAATGTCTTCCAGTACCTGGGAAAGATCTGGGGGAGAAATGTCTGGAGAGAGATTTTACCCCACGACCTACTGGTCTGTAACATGCCCAATCATAGGAATGCCCCTCCACACATGGTAGGGGTCCTGTCTAGAAAGTACCAGAGCAGAAGCCCACGTGCTAGCTCCTTTGTCACCCTTTCTCCCACCAGTTCTCCACTTTATTCTGGACTCCTTAGCCAGAGGCTAGGGTAGCCTGCTGAGCCACCTGAGCCTCAGAGGCCCTGCATGTCCACACAGGGCAGGATCTTCCATGTCCATCCTCGCTTTATCTGTGAAGCACATGCGATAACATCACAAATGTTAAGGGATTTTGTGGTGCATAGATTTCTGTATAAATCATCATTTCTTATCTGTCGTTACTGTGCCAGAGTTCATATTTTCCATTCTTTTATGATTTCCTTTCAATGTCAAAAATTATAATTTCATTGTAGGATTTAATGTCCTATCACTGTAGCTCTGTCTGAGTTTTGTCACTTCCCAGCTTGCTTGAAGAGACCCGTGTCAGTAGAGGGTGCTGCTGGCACCTGTCAGGCCCCTGTATATATTGCTCATTTACTGCTCAGACTGGAGTGTGAGCGCTGGGAGATAGGTATTAGCCCCATTTTATGAGGAACTGAGAATTCACAGAAGAGAATCTTACCCAGGCTGTACAACTGGAGGCTTAGATTGTATGGGAAGATTGCCTAGGATTGAATCGCTACTCTCCCACTTTACAGCTGTGTGACATTGGGCAAATTAACTAGGCCTTTGTGTGCCTCATTTTCCTCATCCATAAAGTATCTGAGAACTCTTGCCTCACAGGGTTGTTGTAAGTTTTAACATTGACATGTGAAATGATTAGAAGGATCCTGACACAGAGTGAGTACTCCATAGATGGTAGCTGGGTAAAGAAAAGTGGGACTGCCAGGGCCTTCCCCACAGCACAACTAACCTAGAGTGTGTCAGTAAGTACTTGGCGCTCACTGAGGGTTGAGGAGGGGATTAGGCTAAGGCTTTTCCAGGGTGTGCCAGCCTTCTGGGCTACAGTCTCCAGCAGCCCTCTTCTGATACTCTCTCTCATTCTAATTCTCATTTATTTTTTATGTTACATCTAACATTTTATTATAATTTGTTGGGGATACTTGGAAACCCTGAGTGATTTCAAGACGGCATTACTCTAAGTGCTAAGGTATTTTTAATTTTATAAAGATTGTGTCAGAATACCTTTCATGAAGCCCAGTTTCCCTTCAAAATCTTTTTCTAGTTACCAAAATCTTTTTCTAGTTTTTCTAATTTCTAGTGGAATTTGGGCATTTCATTGATGATGGATCTCTTTCCCTCTGAAAGAATTTCTGAAGCCCAGGTCCCTAGAGCCGAAGAACTTGGTTAGTTTTTAAGAGCAACAGGAGTAGGAGTTCCTTGCCTCTTGTTACTCCAAGAGAAGCAGAGAAAGCAAGCATCAGGTTCAAGGCAGGCAGAGGACTGACTAAGGTGAGAACACCTCAGGCAGGCCTCTCCCTCCACAAAGATCTGTGTGGTGTGCAGCATCTTAGGGCTGCTTCTCAGGTACAAAAGTGTCCCTTTGACTTGCGCGGCAGTTGGGATAGCGTATAGGTGCTGCCTTCGGAGTTTCCCAGAGCAGACTGCTTGCTGTGAATTCATAAGTACGAGAAGAGTAGTGGGGAAGCTGTGTGGGCGTGGCCTTGCCCTTAGTTCCTGGGTGTACCACACATGAGCTATGTGGTACTTGGATCGCTGACTCACCCAGCTTCTCCACAATGGAGTAGAGCCAGCAACACATTTTAATCACTAATGAAATGAGATACATTGCTGAGAGAAAAAAAAATTTCTGCCAGACAAGCACCAAGGATTTGAGAAAGCAGCTTGACTCACCCCATACCCATCGTGACAGTGTCCATAGTTTGACCACTGACTCACAGTCCTTCATTCAAAATCTGCAATCTATACAGCAAGGCTTCCCCAAAAGGAAGGGAGCTGCTTCCTACACAGGTAAATTGTGATTGTGAACAGCAGACACAGCTGTTAGTGCTTAGTGCACTATCCAAAGAGCTTTGCATATATTCATTTTATCTTCAAAACAGCCCTGTGAGATAGATAATATTTTAATCCCTAATTTACATATGAAGAAACTGAGGCACAGATGTTCAGTGGCTTATTCAAAATCACACAAGTACTAAGTAGCAGAACCGGGATTTGGTCTTGGGCAGTCCAGCTCAGTTTATGCTGTCTTTTAACTATGAGCAAAAAGAGAGATACAGGTGTTTTAGTTAGATAACAAGCTATGTTAATATTATACAATTTTTAAGAAGAAATCATTGTTCCACAGAAAGGGAGAAGAGTGAAAGGATCAATTCAACAGGAAGACATGTCACCCTAAATATACATGCACCTTATAACACAGCTACAAAAGAGAGCAAACACAGATCAGTAAAGCCAAAATATACAGACAAATCCACAGTAACAGCTACTGATTTTTAACACATCTTTATCAATAAAATGATAGAACAAGCAGGCAGAAAAAGAACATAAAGAATTGAGAAATCATCTTAACAACTGCAGAATGCTTACTTTGATGTCCACACAACATGTTCACCAAAGTAGATCATTTGCTGGATCATAACAGCTAAGACTCAGCAACTTTCAAAAGACTGAAGTCTCAGTATGTTCTCAGGCCACAGTAAGGTGATTCTGAAATCAGTACCAAAAAGATAGTGAGAAAGTTTCTATGTATATTGAAATGAATGACACAATTCTACACAATTCAAGTTTCAAACAAATCATAGTTGACATTAGAAAATATCTTTATTGACTATAATTAAATTGACAAAAATTGTGAGATGCAGTCAAAGCAGTTCTTAGAGATTCAAAACTTTAAGGAAAAAAAGTCTACAATATAACTTTTTACCTCAAGAAACTGAGGGGAAAAAAGTCATCAAATTAAGCCGGGCGTGGTGGCGCACACCTGTAGTCCCAGTACTTGGGAGGCAGAGGCAGGTGGATCTCTGTGAGTTCAAGGCCAGCCTGGTCTACATAGTGAGTTCCAGGACAGCTGGGGCTACAGGGAGACCCTGCTTCAAAAAGACCAAAAAAATAAAGTCATCAAATTAAGCCCAAAGCAAGTTATTTTTGATAACAAAAATCTAGGCTGAAACCAATGAAATAACAGAACAAGCTTGCAGTCAAAAACTGAGCGGAGCATTACGTTAAGCATAGGCCCCTCACAGTGCTTCATGTCAACACTAACTTCCGAATTAGGAATAATTATCTTTAAAGTGAGATTTTTTAAGCCAGTTTTCCCCCACAAATGCTTTAACCCCTAAGCAGGTTTAGTTTGTCAGTTCCCTCTTTGACTTTGAGTCTCTACAGATTCCTAACTGTTCTGCTGTCTCTGTTTGTTCCATGCTAAGCAGATGGCCCAGAAATTAGCCAAGAGCAGGAAGAAGGTGCAGTACCAACAACTTCCTCAGCTTGGTGTTATGCCTGTCCTTTTCATTTGTTTATGTTTTGCCTTTTTATGATTTTGTGTTTTTGTTTTCTGCATCCAGCAAGTTTTTGTTCCAATTTATTTTTGAATCGCCCCATAAGCCAGCCTTTCTCCAAACTCAGTTGCCAAAAGTGGCCATTTTCTGTTGCTCATTGGTCATTTCACCTCAGAGGAACAGCAGGGAGCAGATTGGAGATGCTAAATGAATCCTCTAGTGGTGTGGAAGCTGCAACCATTCAGGAGCAATGATGTGGCAGGGACCTGGGTCTACTCAATTACAGCGATGTTTGATTTGAGGATTTGTCAGATTGCTGGATGCAAAAAAGAAAACTCTCTAATAACCACACATGTGTGGGGTTTAGCCCTAAATGAGCCAGACTGTGCTTTTGGGGTTGCGGAGCTTCTAGATGCTTGTAAACTACTCCCAGGATGTGAAGTACTGGGGCTCTTTCATAATGGGGTTGCTTCAGGAGTAGGCAGCTACTTCTGTGTTGCTGTGGTGGCGTGTGAACATAAAGACCCTCTTACCAGAACTGCACCCAATGGTTTCATTTGCACCTACTACAAATATCCTCTGTCAGATCCAGCAGGGCAAACTGAGAGACTGTTCCTGGGTCCTCAGTGTGAGTTCACTGCCCTTTCCCTTCAGTCTCCAAATCCTTACAGAAAGGGACACTGGCTATTATGTCCAGAGTCAGTCCTCAACAGTGAGTTACTGCTGCTGTAGGGCAAGCAGCAGAGGGGACTCGGCATTTTCCTATAACACAGAGATGCTAACTCTCCCATGTATCCATCCTCTTTGTAGTAACTTCGGCTTTGGCAGTTTAACCCTTGAGTCTGTGTAGCTGTTCTGGTGACTGTGTCTTGGTGGCCCAGTGTGTAAGCTAACCTTGCTCCCATGTCTCTGGATCAGGATAATGTGGTAAAACTTCCTCTTGATGCGTTTTCTTCTCAGGCTCCTGAAGGAGAATCTCAGCCAATGACTGAGGTGGATCTCTTCATTTCTACCCAGAGGATCAAAGTACTGAATGCAGATACACAGGTACCAACTAGCTCCCACCTTTCCCAGAGGTAAATGCCAGTGACATCCCAACACAAATTCTGTGGCTGTCCCCAGGCATTGGGCTCCAGACAGATTCAAAGACCCTGTTCACAAAGGCTAATGGTAGGTGGGGCTGTATTTGATTTCTTTTTTGGTCTTTTTGTGAGACAAGCTCTCCCAGTAGCCCCAGCTGGCCTGGAACTCACTGTGTAGTCCAGGCTGGCCTCAGACTCACAGAGATCTGCCTGCCTCTGCCTCCCAAGTGCTGGGAACAAAGGTATGTGCCACCATGTGTTTGATTTCTTAAAGTTCAAAGGAAAACTTAGAATGTGGTGATGTTTATCATTCACAGGAGTTCTCTGTGGAGGACTCATTAGCATGAATTCTGGTGAAAATCTCACACAGTGCGTGAGCGCACATGCACACACACACAAAACACATGCACAAACTGTGACATTTAGATTTTATCTTTCTTTTCAACTTCACCACCAGAGATTCTATGAGATATAAGATACTTGAAATTTCTTATTGTTCTCCTGCATAGATCATCTCTTCCTCTTCATTGGCCAAGGAAAATGCCTTGGGCCTGGGGAATGGGGCACAGAAATCCTCCAGTGAAGGCTTTGCCCTGATCCCATCTCACATGAGGAGCTTACTTAGCTGGGGTAAGGGGTGAAGACACCCTCTCATGGTTTCTCAGGTCCTAAACACCAGACTCACCTGCTCTGCCCCCCCATCTCCAGGAGCCAATGATGGACCACCCTCTGAGGACCATCTCTTACATCGCAGACATCGGGAATATTGTCGTACTGATGGCACGCAGGCGGATGCCACGCTCCAACTCCCAAGAGAACGTGGAGGCCTCCCACCCATCCCAGGATGGGAAAAGACAGTACAAGATGATCTGCCACGTCTTTGAGTCTGAGGACGTAAGGCTGGCTTCCCCGATCTCCCTCTTGATTTCTCAGAATCTAAATCAGTCTGATTCATCATACATTACACATAGTTACTGAGCACCTACTATGTGTCACGCAGGTACTGTTCTAGAACTGTGGCTATAAGGGAAATGAAATACATATACAGGTTGAAGCAAGCAGAAAATAAATAAATTGACTAAATGTAAAATTAGACATGGGGAATGCTTTGCTGAAAAAATGTTTTAAAAGGTTAAAGCATAGAGGGACAGGACCATTTCAAGTAGGGTGATCAGCATAGCCCTCTTTTCAAGGAAGTGACATTTGAACAGAGACATGAATAAAATAAGAACAGGAAACAGCAAATGACACAGCCCTTAGGCAGGGGCCTGATGGGTTTAAGAAGGAAGAACAGGCCAGGCTGCCGGATGACTTGGAAAGGGGGAGAGCTGAACAGTTCAGGCAGACCCAAATTGCAGGGATCCAAGAAGGTCTCAGCTGCACTGAAGTGTTTGCAGAGGTCCAGTCTGTGGTATATAAAACTGTCCTATGGTCTGTAGGAAAGCTAATACCCCTGCTCCTCCCAGCCCAGTGGCAGGAGCACCACCCGCTAGGGCCCAGTCCTTATGAAAACCATTTCCTTCTCTGTACAAAGCCAGGATTCCTAACCCCCATTCCACCAAGTGGTGAGATCATGAAAACATCCTTCCCAGCACAGGCATCATTCATCTATAGGGGCTCAGTATTGTACTAGCACCTGGCAACATATGTTCACAGCACAGGTGTTTTTCATCCATAGGGGCTCTGCACTGCACCAGCACCTGGTACCTTCCCTCCTGGAGGTTGAGGCAATCCTGCACTTCTCAGAGAGCCAAAGCTGTCATAGCTGTGGCCACCATCAGGAGCCCAGGAGATGCTGACATTGACCTTCAAATCTTAAGCAGTCCCCCTGGGCTGCTAAGAAGGCAGAGTGCTTGTGATGCTTCTCCTTGTATTCTCTGCTGTGCTTTAAGGCTGAGATCAGTATGCATCACGAGACCAGCATACATCACAAGAGAAATGGAAGGCCTTAGGAGAGTCCATGAGTAAAATTTTAGAATCTTAAGGCTCTAGTGTCCCTCAAGCCAGAGAGAAGGTAGGGTCAACTCTCCTCACCAGCCTTGATGACCCCGCAGGACCTCCTGCTACCTTCATCTTGCACAGAGCTCATAAAAGGGGGTTCTTTTCCCTCATTTTTAAAGCTCCAGTGGGGAAGAATGGAAAGACTGAAGAAGTTGGAGCCAGATAAGAGTGGACTGGAGGCTCTAATGGCTTTGTTTCTACTATAAGGTGGACCAAGCATACTGTTCCACAGCTTAGGCTTGGGCTGGGCTGGGATGGAGTCCTACCCTATGAACAAGTGGGGACTTGGCCTCTGGCTCCTTGTAGGAGGGCGGAACCACCCTCTGAGCTGCCGCTTGCCTCTAGCTGACAGTACAGGTAAAGCTCAAGGCCTGACATGTGGCCAATGGGCCATAAATCTAGCCACCAGGGTACTGACCACATATATCCATTAGTGGTGATCAGTGAGGCTACAGGTAGTGTACCAGTGTGCTCTTCTGAGGAAGCAAGTGGTGCTTCACCTGTCCTGTTGTCTAGTGGGATAGAGTATGCCAACTCACCAGAGAGGTTGTGGGTCAGCCACACTAACACCTGTCATAGGGTGATGTCATGATTTTTCTGGTGTTACTAATGTGCAGTCCAGGCACATGAGGACTGCTCTGCTGCTGTTGGCTGTCCTAATTGGTTGCACTGCACAATTATGTAGGGAAAAGGCAGAAGGAAAAACATAGTGCAAGCCAAGTTCCTGCCCTGTGACCTTTGTGACCTTGAGCATATTCCATGTTTTCTCATCTGGAAATTGCAAAGTTGGACCAGATTAGGGCTCTTGATTATTGGAGTCAATACAACTTTTTTTTATTTTTTTTTTTGAGAGGGAAGAGAGAGACAGAGACAGAGACAGAGACTATCCGTGTGTGTATGTGTATGGGCATGGGGCAGAGGAGTGTGTGCACAAAGACCAGAAGACAGCTATCCTCCTCTATCACTCCCCACTTACTCCTTTGAAGCAGAGTCTCTCCCTAATCTGAGACTGACTGTTTTTGGCTAGACTGGAAGCCAACAAGCCCCAGCAATCCTCCTGTCTCTACCCCTCTTGTAGGTGGGATTATAGGTACACAGGATGCCCAGCTTGTGACATAGGTGCTGAAATGGAACTATAATCTTCATGAATGTGCAGCAAGTACTGTTAACCACTGAGCCATCCCTCCTGTCCCTTTGATTGTTTTTTTACAAAATAACTTACATCTATAAATATGATACAAGGTAAACAATAAAAGGAATAGAAGTTAAGATAAAATCATGATGCATATATAAATGAGCCAGTCATTCCAAAAAGCCTAATGAAGTACTCAGATGTTTACTCCTACTTAATTAAGTTTGGCTGTAGGAACACAGTATTTTGCACCACAGCAAATGCTCAGGCTGATCCAATGTTGCAACTCAGATACCACAACCATAAATGATATAGATGATTTTGAAAGAATGATGTTTAGTCTTTGAAATTCAAAGGTTCATCTTCCCTCAGTTTGCATAGTGTTATTCTTGAAATGTTTGGTGTATGCCATGGACACCCAGTGACCCTTTGTGGTTGTAAAGAAATAAGAAATCAGTCCTGGACTCAGAAGATTAGAAAAAGGTGTTACACATAATTAATGTCCAGTCAGGTAGCTGAAGATTCCACAAGATCTAGAACAATTGTTTTTTTTTTTGGTAGGACTGTTTTTTGTATGGCAGTGTGTCCATTGTCTCTGACTCCTGTTTACCTAATGCCAGTAGCTCCCTTATGGTCATTGTCATAATAAAAAATATACTTGATAATTTTCAAATGACTCTTGGTAGGCACTGGTGCCCTTATGTAGAACAACCAACCAGCTGATCTGTACTTGGGCCCCTCAAATTCTGTAAAGAGTCATCCATGGGAAGGTATGCCAGCAGTTTCCCCAGCAGCACTGCCCTCACCTAGACTGGGTTTCATAAGGACAGAGGTCAGGTCCTATCGTGACCTCTTCTATATTCCCCTATGCTGCTGTTGTAGGCCCAGCTGATCGCACAGTCCATAGGGCAGGCATTCAGTGTGGCGTACCAGGAATTCCTCAGGGCCAACGGGATTAATCCTGAAGACCTCAGCCAGAAGGAGTACAGCGACCTGCTCAACACCCAGGACATGTACAATGATGACCTGATCCACTTCTCCAAGTCAGAAAACTGCAAAGATGTAGGTACTTTCCTGAGCCTGTTCCCAGGCTGGGCCAGCTCAGCAGGGCCCTGGAGGGTGCGGAAGTCTTCTGTGGAAGTAGAAGCTGAACAGTGTGGCATGGGCAGGACATTGTGTGACACTCATACCCATCACTGACTTCCCACACAGGACCTTGTTATTATTAAGTACTATCAAAAAGTATAGACTTGTCTATATTGCATGTGCTCTGCCCCCAAGAGTCCCAAGCCAACTTTTCAGCAGGTTCTATAGGATCCACTCCTATATGGATATGGTATGGATAGGACCTGACCTCTGTCCTTGTAAAACCCACAGTCTAGGTAAGGGTACTGAAAAAGTCAGTAGTGTGCCTATTTAAGTACTGGTGAAAGCCCACTGCACTTGGCAAAACAGAGCAGATCTTGTGTTCAGACAATAGATGCTGTAATTTCTGACGTTGCAGGTTGAGCTCCCCAGGAGTTTCAGGAGATAGAGAGAGTCATCCAAGCTGGTCTGTAGGTCTAGGGGTCATTTGGAGCATGTAGGAACAGTAGAAAGTGGAACCAAAGTTAACAAAAAGGAAGCCTGAAGGCCAGAAAACTCCAGATTTGTCTGTGACAGGAGGTGGCTCAACTGGAACAGGGAGTGAACACAGGAAAAGACATGGAGAAAACCAAGTCCAGCCAAAAGGTTCAGATTTTATCCCACAGATAAAAAGAACCTTTAATGATAAAATGATCTTTGAATCTATTGGCTGTCTTGAGTCGGGTTCCTTGGAAACAGCAGAGGTGAAGGTTCTTGTTCAAGAGGTTCTATGGAAACCTGCACTCAGAACAAAAGGAGAGTCAGGAGGGGCTAAGGAAGAGTGTGACCTTGCTGAGCATGAGCTTCGTTCTGATCCAAGAAAGTGCTGGGACACAGAGTACAAGACAGATGGGGCAGGGGACCTGGCATCATCTCTACTCACTCCCATATTGGCCAGTAATGGGCAGGAGTATATTAGCTTGCTGCTGCTGTCATAAGCTCCAACAGCAGACATGCCTTGTCCCTCAGTTCTGGAGGCTGGACGTGCAAGGGTGAGGCGTTGGTAGGATGGGGTCCTTAGAGCTATGAGAAAAGGCTCTGTTCTACACTGCTCTCCTTGGCTCACAGGTGGCCCCTTCTTCTTGCATCCTCATGTCATTTCCCATGTGTCCAAATTTCCTCTTATAAGAGCACCAGTCATATTGGATCAGAACACACCCTAATGACCTCAGTTTAGCTTGATGGCCCCTAAAATATCTTGGCTCTATATTGAGGTACTGGAGGTACTGGAGTTAGGGCTGCAGTATGTGCATTTAAGGGGTAGTTAACAATTTAACCCATAACAGGGATGTTTCCCGTTTGGCCATGGGAAGTGCTCCAGGAGAGAAGCCCACTGTTCTTCAGCAGCAGCTGTGAAGGGGACTTTGTCAGGCTCCAGTACATATGCATGCACACGCTGTCAGAGGCTTCTGAGAAGGGTCTTCCTTTCTGTGGCATCTCTGCAAACCTCCCCCTACTAACTCTTGCCCCTGTGCCAGCCATTGGCAGTCACAGAAACCTTATGCATGTCCCTGACATGGTCTTCTGTGTGTATTACAACCTTTTGGTTGAGATAACTACAGCATCACTTTCTTTTTCTTCAACTTTCACCTTACAGAAAAATGTTTCCATATATTTGTTTTTCACTCAAGAATTTTAAATGTTGAAGAAAAATTAAAAATCACTATAGAATGGGAGAACCTGTTTACAGAATCCAAAGGCACTTCTGGAAGCCATAACAGGCCACCAATGCTCTCAGGAACAGAGTCCCCATAGGGGACAACAGATGTTTTGAAAGGATATATAAAACCTGGTGCCCCTTTGTATTTATGTGCTGAGGCCAGACATGAGAAAGTAAGAGCTTGTGTCGAGTGGTTTCTTGCAGATTCCTGGTGCCATGCCAAGAAGACTCGCTTACCTGGGCCAGCATCCTGTTTCTCCACACAGGAAGGGGAACCAGCTCTGATCTCTACCCCATATGGTTGCTGATTTGAGCTTTTTGAGCTTTTTTCTCCTTTCAGGTTTTCATAGAGAAGCAGAAAGGAGAAATCCTAGGAGTTGTGATTGTGGAGTCTGGCTGGGGATCCATTCTACCAACTGTGATCATAGCCAACATGATGCACGGAGGCCCCGCAGAAAAGTCAGGGAAGCTGAATATCGGGGACCAGATCATGTCCATTAATGGCACCAGCCTGGTGGGCCTGCCTCTCTCTACCTGCCAGAGCATTATTAAGGTACCTAGTCATGAGAAAATCTTTTCAGTTACAGACCTGAAATGATGTGAAATGTGATTGTCATCCAGTTGACAATGTTTATGAACATTTTTAAGCTTGGGTACTGAAGAATACCCAAATACAGATGGCATAGACTTGCACTCAAAGCATCTTGCCCTCAACTCACTATTTGTAAGTTCCTCCATACATCAGGATCACAGTTGATATATTTGGCTCACATAACACCACTGTCTAATACCATCCCCATCATAGGCATAACTAATCAATTACCTCACTTTCTCCACTAAACCCAGACTCAGCCTCAGCAGAATATTCCTCAGCTCAGTAATCTAGATAGTCATATATATATCCTGTCCCTCCCCCAGAGCTGGCTGCCTGACTGCCATAGGGAGGAACCTCTACTGTAGTCCATACATTTCTCCTTTTTCAACCTAAACTGATGCCATCACTAGAAAGGAACTACTTAAAGAGAAATTAAATGTGAACACTTGAGGAGAAAAATTGGATTTTCTTCTTAGGGGTGAAGCATCTGTGTGTAGTCTTTCGAGCTCACTGAACTTTGCTGGTTGCCTAGCCAGTGTGATGGAAGTATTCTTCCTCCACTACACCTCTTTGGCCTCAGAACACCATAATCCAGCAGGTGGTTCTACAGATAGGCTGAACACCATGCCCAGCTGGGGTTCTGCAAGTAGACTGGAATGCTCAACTTTCCTTGGTCCCAGGGCTTTCCAAGATACCACTCTGTGGAAGAACAAATGAATCCATGCAGTAGCCATTCTATGTCAAAGAAAATTACAATGACAATACTTCATCTGAGGGGCTGGGGTGGAGGATACAGGTGAGCATACAAGAGAGGGTAACTTGCCTCTTCACTTTTCCTCAGTAAGGTCTACCCATTGCTTAATATACAGCCATGTGTCAGTTACAGGGAAATAAGTTCTGTGAAATATGTCATTAGGCAGTTTTGTCATTTCTAAGCATCATTGAGTACTTACACAAATCTAGATGAGTCACTTGATATGGTCTCTTGATACAACTAAGAGATACAATAATAATGCAACCCGTGAGGGGCCTGCCAGTGCAGCATGGGACACTGTCTTATAATAAACTTTGTAATGAGTAGGCACAGACCCTAAAGTAATGATAAAAACACAGCATAGAAATATGTAATCTAGTAAAATAGAATTTATTAAATATTTTGTACAGGCAGTATATGTGCTATGCTTTTATACAGTTTGCAACACAGTGAATACACCAGTGTAACCACAGACATGTGGAATGAGTTGTGCTATGATGTTAGGATGTCACCAGTGTGACCAGGTGATAGAAATTCAGCTCTATATTGTCTTACAGGACTGCTATGATATGTTGTCTGGTTGACTAAACATCATTACACAACACATGGCTCTACCATAGTAGTAAGATCAGAGACTCTACCTAATGCAAAGATTAATTCAGCTGTGTTTACTTGGACCTTTGTTAGGTGCTCAGCTGTACCATGGAGAAGCCAGAATGATAGTGTGCATGTGGAGGATAATTGCACCGCTGAAAGAGGGTGATAGCAACAGAGGTAAAAGCCTGCCAAAATTTGCCGGGCGTGGTGGTGCACGCCTTTAATCCCAGCACTTGGGAGGCAGAGGCGAACGGATCTCTATGAGTTTGAGGCCAGCCTGGTCTACATAGTGAGTTCCAGGCCAGCTGAGGCTCCTGGGGAGACCCTTATCTCAAAAAAGACCAAAAAAAAAAAAAAAGAAGATGGAAAAATTTATAGGATAATGCTCAGGTTGACTTTAAAAGAGTTAAGACCTAGGTTGGTAAGAGGAAAGTAGCATTTGGAAATATCTGCTTGGACATGGGCTGGCATTGAGTCAAGGGAATGGACTCAGCCTGACCTGCAAGGGTTGATCTGGTGATGCCATAGTAACATAGATGAACAGTGACCAGGAGTAGAGAGGCAGGACCACTGCCCTGCTTCCCATGAACAAATTACTTACTAAACAATTTGTGTGTACATGTGAGAACTGCAAAGGGCCGTGTGACCCAGATACACAGTGGATATTCTCCCATGGGTTTGGCCTAGAAAGAAGTGACAAGTTCAAGAGCAGTCGAGAGCTATAAACCCAACACTGACCTGGAGGTGTATGTAGATTAGCTCATTGAAGTCAAAGCAGCCTTCTGTGCAGCAGGTACTGTTGTAGCCATTGCACAAGTAAGGAAACTGAGGCACAGAAAGGTGGTCACACAGCCCTTAATGGAGCCAGCTTATTAACCAGTGGATAGCCTGCCCCTAAGACAGCACTGTATGAGTATCTAAGTGCTAGATCCAAGGCCATACCCTCAACCAGAGGTGATATATGCCTCAGAGACCTGAAGACTCTCTTGGCCATTCCACTGAGAAGAAGATACTACAGGTAGATACAGGAGGTAGATGCAGGGACACCACCAAATATCTTATAGTGCATAGGAAAGCCTCCCACAGCCAAGACTTATCCAGCCCCAGATGTCTATAGTGCCAAGCTTGAGGATCCATGTGGGAAGTATAGGAGTTCAGATGTCAAGGAGAGAAACTGGTGAGAGGGTGATTGGTGAGGGGCCTTCATAGGGAGTTGCTCTGAGTCCTGAAAGGTTTTAGGAGGTGGGGATAGGGGTATTTTAAAATGAATATGTCCCTTTAAAATATGTGTTGAGCACATGCCTTTAAGCCCAGTACTCAGGAGGCAGAGGCAGGCAGATCTCTGTGAGTTCAAGGCCAGTCTAGTCTGCATAGTGAATTCCAGGTCAGATGGGGCTACAAGGAGACCCTTTTGGTCAAAAAGACAAAAAAATAAAATATGTGTTGAAGCGGTAATCCCAGTGAGATGGTATTAGAATGTGGGGCCACTGGGAGGTGATAAGTTATAAAGTAGTGCCTTCATAATGGGATCAGTGTCCTTATACAAGGAACCCTTCAGGGCTCTCTGATGCTCTTCCTCCATGTAAGAACAACCAGAAACCAGCAGTCCACAACTTGAAGGAGGAGCCTCACCAGAATTTGACTGTGCTGGCACCTGAATCTCAACCTTCAGACCTATTAGAAGTGACTTGTCATTGGTTATAAGCAACCCTGTGCATGGTAATTTACTGTCATAGCTTAAGCTGAGAGAAAAAAAAGAGGCAAACTTGAGTGAAAGTGAGATGGGCTTGGGCCCAAGAAGCAAGAATTCCTGAGGACTCCAAACCCTGTGTCAGGGCCTGGCCTTCCCTCAAGCTATCCCTTACCTGAAATTCCAAAGGCAGATGACTTTCTCAGGGCCTCCAGCTGGCCAATGAGCCTCAACTCTCCTCTCTGCTGGCCTCTGAATGACACAGACCAAATGAGGGAACCACAGTGCCTATGAGTTCACCTGACCACCTTGACTTCAGCTGCACGAGGACTCAAACCTTTCTCACAGATCACCAAGACAACAAGGCAACTAGAGCCGAGGTCTCCTGACAAAGCTTGCTGTAGTACAAACAGAGTTGCCCTGGAGCTTCTTGAAAACTTCCTGTTAGTTTGAATAGTTGAACTTTGATGTCTGTAAATGGACTCTCCATGGAATCAGAAGATGAAAAGACCATGTGGTGATGAAAGAGACATAACTGATAAAGAAGGAGCATAAGGAAACCACTGCCTTTGTGGTCTCCATCAACAGATATGTGCATAGCAGGCAGGTCCAGTTAGAATCTGCTGAGCACTCTCAGTGCCCCAAGATGCTCAGCTTTGGGGATCTAAAAAGTTAGATGGCCCTTCTATGGCCTGCCCTGGCTAGGGGACATTTGCCACTACCTGCTGGAACTCCAGGCCCAAATGAGGACTGATACAGGGGTCTAGTACTGTTTTTTAAATTCTCTGTACATTCCCCAACCCCGTTATGCCTGGACTTGAACAGATGATCACACTGTCGCAGAACCCGCTCCCACTCAGTCACTGCAGGAAAATGCCTGGACTTCAAAGCTTCATGGTACTGTTTATTTCAATGTATTCCAGTGCTCTTTGCAATTACTTTGGCCAGCACCTTGCTTCTTAAGCAATCACTGCTTCGCAAACTCACAGGAATCACTCATGGGTCCTGTTAAAATGCAGGTTCTGATCTGACAGATCTTGAATGGAACTCTGCTTTTCAGCCAAACTCCTAGGGATGGTGGCATTGCCAGACTTCAGGTCGGACTTTGAGGAATAGAAGTCTAAAATGATGCATGGACTGGCATTTTAATGCACATTGTCCTTTCTTCTCCCAGATTACAGGAAGTGAAATACACTGCTAGTTATAGAAATCATCATAGTTCCTTTTTGCCCAGCTCTTATTTTTCCAGTTGTAATTCATTCCTAAAGCAACTGTTGGTAGGCAAAGCAGGCTCGCATGCCTCATGCCATTGTCTCTAAGTCTCACCCTCTGGATTTTTGTCGTTTTTCAATCTAGAGCCCAGCTTCCCTTTTATTCTTAAGATTAACATGGTTCTTCCCTTGTTGCCATAGAGACTACTCTGACTTCTTCCCCTTCCACCATGTTTCTTTATTTGCTGCACCATTCCACTGTTGTCATGGGGATGAAATGACCATTTATTTAGTTGTAACCTCTAACAAAACGGCAGGTAAGAAATCCAATTTAAAGGACCCAACTTGAAACACTGATTAGGACTAGCAGGGCAAATCATAGTCTAGTTTTTTTTTAAAAAAAAAATCACCATTTCTCTAAGCCTTATCTTGAAGTACATTTTCCCTAATCTTGAAATTCTTTTGCAGAGTGACCCATCAGGAATCTTAAATTAATTTGTATAAAAGGAAAGTCTATTAGAGCAATGTGAAATTTTTAGGTAGTACAGTCCTACCATTCTCAGCTTGCTTCTCGCAAATTCCTGGTCTCATGGTGTGTGATTTACTTGGCTGGAAGAACTCAGGCCCCCTCTGGCTTCTCTGTCTTCATTCTGGCATTCTCTCCCTTAGTTCTGTCTTCCCTCAGCCCCTCCCCTCCTCGCAGCACCAAGAGACCTACATACACTTCTTCCTCCCCATCTCCAGGGCCCAATGCATTTCCTGGCACATAGTGTTTTTTGATTAAATGAACAAGAAAGAGAACTCAAGGGAAAGAGCGCTAACCTTGTGACTGAGGTCAGGGCTGCCATACTCCGATTCCCTGCTCTAATGTTGGGTGACACATCTGAGTTTTGAAGTTTGATGGCTGAGATTTCGTGTTGTAAGCTCAGGCATTTAGGAAGATAAACATAGAAACTAGACCTGGCAGAGACCTCAGTAAATGTCACCATTTAGGAAATGATGATGAAATTTGAGGTAAAGCAAAGTGCTTAAGAGCCCCCAGGTTGTCATAGCAGAACCACAGCTGGAACCCAGGTCTCCTAATACCAACACTGTCCTCCTCCCTAGGCCATGCCTGTCCCAGTGCTAGGAGCAGGAAGCCCCAGCCCCTCTCTCTCCCTTGTTGATATGGATGATGAGACTTGGTGTCAACAGAAGGCCCAAATCCTTTGCAGACTTTTCACAAAGGGAGACGCACAGTTAGTTCATTGCATTGCTGTGAATATAGCATTCCCTTAACCAAGGCAGTTCTGCAGAGATGTTGCAAGCCACTAGGGACATTAGTGATGAAAATGTGAGTGGGAGCACCAGATCACATGATACAAGAAGACTTTCAGAAACCAGAGCAGTACAGGACACTGAAAGCAGAGAAACTACATTGTATTTATGCAGAGAAGACTAATTAGAACTATGGAAAGCTGTTGGGGGGGGTGGCGGTGGCGCACAGGGATGTGAGGACTATGAGGAGCCCTGAAGAGCTCATATAGGAAAGTGACCTGGCAATATGGCCCCAATTCAAGGCTGGAAGAAGCTTTGGGGAGCACAGATTTTTCTCCTGTTATTGACCCTGACTTCTTCGTTGAGCGAGCCTTAATCCTGAAAGGCTCTCCCACTGTAAGTACTATGGTTTTTTAAAACAGACAGACCTGAGATTGAAGTGGCTGTGTAAATAACAGTGAATAACTTAGTACCTCTGAGCCTGAGTTTCCTCTTCTGTAAGATAAGGATGGCTATAGCTGTCAGTTTGTCAGGGAGACTGCATCCCACAGCTCCTGTCAGCCTCTCGGTGCCTCGTAGGTGTCTTGCTCACTGACAGGCACAATCACTGTGCTTTGGCTGCTTTCATCACCAGGGTTGACTTTGGTGCAGCAGTTGATCCCAGGGTGCTCACACATGTTACAGCAGTAGAGATGGCTAAGCCTGGGCTAGGCCGTACCCCTCCCTCCCTAACCTTACCATGGCCTGCTTTGATGAAGGTACAAGCCACAGATATGAGGAGTCAAATGGACCTCTGTAGGTCTAACAACTTCCTAGAGAAATTAAGTCACCAGGTGAGGTGAGACCATGTCCGAATCAGAAGTATGCACCCATTCTCAAAATTGAGCATGCACCAGTCACCTGGAAGACTAGTTAACACAGAACACTGGTCCTACCCCTAGAGTTGTAGGTCTGCAGTAAAGCACAGAATTCACACTTCAAACATGCGGCCACATAATATTGCTCCTGCTGTCATGGGCCTGGAGAACTGTTGGTATATACCCATTGGACAAGAATAGTAAGACCAGATAACCAGAGGCAAAGGTTACCCATCCTTCCATCTAAAGCAAACTTTCATCACTTAGAAACAAAAATATGTGGGCCCTTTCCACCATTCTTGTCACCAAGTCTGTACCAAAGTCGCCTAACCTGTATCATCTGTGCCCAGCAAGGTGCTTGTGAGGTAGGTAGAGACCTGAGCGGATGCAATGGGGGTCCCAGTACTGACTTCGTGGAGCCCTTGGACAAGGAGTTTTCACAGTCCATGTCTGTTGATCATCTATAAGCCATCACTGTTAGTCCCAAACCTATAAAGGTTTGTAGACTGGGCAAGGAGTGATAGTCTCTGTGCTGGGAAACTCATAAATTACTGTTCATAGAGCACAAGGCAAAGAATTTTCCTGCATGCATACCTTTCCTGGGTTTGCCATTGCTCTCTCCAGGCCCCTTTTCTTTCTTTCTTTCTTTCTTTCTTTCTTTCTTTCTTTCTTTCTTCTTTCTTTCTTTCCTTTCTTTCTTTCTCTCTCTCTTTCTTTCACAATTTATGTATTTTTATTTTGTGTGTATGAATGTATTGCCTGCATGTATATAAGTGCATCTATGTCTTGCAATGCCCAAGGAGGTCAGAAGAGGGCATTGGAGTCCCCTGGCTCTGGACAATTGTTAGCTGCCATGTGGGTACTGGGAATCGAACCCAGGTCCTCTGCAAGAGCAGCCAGAGCTCTTACCCCTGAGACATATCTCAAGCCCCCACGTCCCTCTTCCAGTCTTACCTATAAGGTCACAATTTGAGCCTACTGGCCAATTGGTCGGGTCCTATCTCAAGGGGATATCATGGACTTGAATAAAGGCTATGTTTTCCCAAATCCAAGCCCCTCCCTCACAGGAGTCTAGCCAGGCAGGTATTTCCCACCTGAGTGCTCTGATCTCCCTTCCTCAGCTCTAGGGCCTCCAGCCACAGCAGATGTGATGGAGAGCAAAGAAGAAACGAGACATCTTTGCCCCAGGATTTAAAAACTACCATTTTCTGTGTGGCGTATCTTGAGATGGACTGTCAGGCATGTCTCAGAGCCCTTCTTCTGCACCTGCTCTGGCATACAGGAGTCAGCCAGGCAGAGCAGACCATCTGCAGAGCCAGGAGTACTAGAAGCAGCACATTTATTTCAGGACTGGCGACTTCTGCCTGGCCCACTCTCCTCAGCATGAAGCCAATGTGATGGGTGGGCCTCCCTGAGGAAAGGATGGTGTGGCTGGGTGGAGGCAGTTCCAAACAGGCTCTGAAACTCCTCTTCATCTTCATGGTTAAAAACCAGCTTTCCTCCCACCATCCATTCTACCTAGAGGGAGGGCGTGTGACCAAGGGTTATGAAGCCACACTTTTCATGTCTCATTTCTTTGCTCTGCATCACATCTGCAGGAAACACACACACACACACACCACACACACACACACACACACACACACAGGAGCTTCCAGTTGTATTGGGAATGTCCATAAACTAGAAGATCTCCCCAGGTAGAGAATGGGGAAGAAGAGGTCAGAGACAAGCAAGCAGGCTGTGTGGATGGGCTGCTTCCTGTGAAGTTATCCTTTGTTAGGAATGGTGGCTGGAGTCTGCCTGGTAAAAGAAAAAGCCCATTTCCCACTTGGCTCTCTCCTGACCCGGGGAGGTAGTGTGCATCCTTCACCTTTCAAGCATTTGACACTTTTCCTCATCGCTGCACCTCTGTCAGGTTCCTTGACACAGCTCATTTTGCAACATAAAGATGCCACCTGCAGGAAACCGATCTCCACATGGGCAGAAAGGGTTCTAATGATTAGAGAGGACTGCCATTGCACCAGTCCAGACACATAGTCTGTGGGAACTTGGGAAGACTGAGGTTGTGCATGCTGCTTCTGTCTTGAGTGCCATCTGCTTTTTATTCTGTCTGCCTCAGTGGTCATCATCTCTCCGGTATTGTATTCATGTTTAAGGGCTTAAAGAATCAGTCCCGGATAAAGCTGAATATTGTGAGATGCCCTCCAGTGACCACCGTGTTAATCAGGAGACCAGACCTTCGCTACCAGCTGGGTTTCAGTGTTCAGAATGGAATTGTAAGTGCGAGTCACAATGTACCCTTTCCCAAAATGTTGACAAATGAAAATATAGCTGTATTTGTTTTCCAGACAGTCCATTCCTTCTGTCTTTGCATCCAGGAAAGAGGTGTGTGTTGTTTTTTTAATTGACTAGATTCTTTTTGGGTCTTAGTTGTTTGGGGATAGAATATGCTAGGCAAGCAGTCTACAAATGAGCCATACCCCTAGCCCTAGACTCTTGGTCTTATCTCCAGTGTGAAAAACAGCTAAGGAATGTTTTGACCCACCAGAGAGTACCTTAGAGTCTGAAGGACCCACTCACTCCAAAACTACTAAGCACATTTTTTGCAAGTCTTATTTGTATCAGCTTTTGAAAGGGGTTTGGGGGTGGCCCCACCTCATTCACTCTCCTGTGGCCATGGACTTATCCCCACTGCAGTGCTGACTGTGCTATTGATGCCATTTCTATAAAAGTGAGCTTGACCAAGCCACCAAGTTGGCACCACCAACAGAACCTCTCTCCTTGAGCCACACTGTAGAACACAGTAGGGTGCCAGTGACCTGAAACAGTTCCACATGTGACCCAGTTGTGATTGTGGGAGACTGCCTGAAACACTGGCACTTGGATGATAGGCCCAACAGAAATGGAAAGTGGCCAGAGCTCAACATGCCAGGAAGTTCAGTGACAGCGATTCTCTGTCCAAAACGTGTGAACAAGGCAGCCAGGTGGGCCTACAGAACCTAGTTTTGTTGCTGTTGGTTGTGATGCTAGGGATCAAACCTATGATCTTATATATGCTAGTCAAGCATTCAATCACTGAGCTACATCCCTAGCCACAGAGCCTGTTCTCATAAAAAAAGAACCTGAGAGAGTTAAATGGCCCAAGCCTTGCCAAGTCAGCTTCTCAGAGGTGCTCATGCTGAGGCACCAGGGTCCTGGGGAAGACAGTGTTCCACCCCCACACAGCTCTAAGATGCAGTGCTGCCACCAGGTGTAACTTGGTATTTGGTCCTGATAGATCTGCAGCCTCATGCGAGGGGGAATAGCTGAGAGAGGAGGAGTCCGCGTGGGACATCGGATCATCGAAATTAATGGACAGAGTGTCGTTGCCACGCCACATGAGAAGATTGTCCACATCTTGTCCAATGCTGTCGGGGAGGTAGGAGAGAGGCCCAGGGCTGGGCAGGGCAAGGTGCTCTTTGTGCCTCTCAAATCATGCTGGCCTTGCTGGGAACCTTCGAGAGCTTCCTTTCCCCTCCTAATACTCCTTAACTAGAGTCATCTACTGCAGACCACTATTACAAGCAGTTGTCCAACACCTCTGTGATACGACGTCAGTTCACCTTCCACCTCTTCAACACTCATTGTGTTGCTACTCTCTAGCTCCCCAAATTCTCTCCACTTTCCCCAGTTAACCCCACCAAATGTGCTTGGAAGACACAGATTAGATTCAAGACTCCAACCCAGCAGCCCCCAAAGGGGTCTCCCTGGCATGGGCTCTCCTAAAGTCCTGGCTATATTTCCAGGGCTGCTGGTATTGCTTTAATAGCAGGGATGTTTTGTATGGACAGAACAAGACATAAAAGGGAGGCAGGGTAAGTCGGAAGCCCAAAACTCTTCTTCTTGGAGCCTCTTCTATTTCTCAAAGGACTGGTGAGAACAGGAGCCTTTAACTGGAAAAATAAGCCTTACCTGGATTTTCATATCATTTTTGGTCACCCCTGAACTTGTTAGAAAGCCTGTAGGCTCTACTCTTCTAGGCTAGGTCCCTGGACATGGTGGGGGACTATCTTGGAAACCTAATACAGTGGGAGACACTTGTCTCTGTCCTCAGCCCTGGCCCTCGCTAACACTGCTTTCTGCCCTCAGATCCATATGAAGACGATGCCAGCAGCCATGTACAGACTGCTGACAGCCCAGGAGCAGCCAGTTTACATCTGAGCCGTGACTCTGTGGCGGCATGCATGGAGGACTCTCCTCACCGTGGTTGTGTTTCTTGTGTTGCATCGTGTGTCCACTGAAACATTTCCCTCTTGCGCCCAGCATTTGGTCTTACACAGGAAGAGAAGAATCAGCAAGGACCTCTTTGCTCTCTGTCTCTCCAGTTTGCTTTTTTCTGTTCTTTAATACCAGGGCAGTTTCGTGTGTGCTTCTTTGAAGCTGGAGCTAACATCCACCTGGTATCTAACCAGGACCATCCTAGAGAACCTTCAGAGGTCCTGGGGGAGGGTCCTGTCTGTCCTGTCCAAGGGGGCATCATCCCTCCTCAAGAGGCACAAACTTCCCAGAAGGCGCTCCCAGGTGCAGTGCAAGAGCTGACTCAGCAGTGCCTAAAAACTCAGTTGCTGATCTCTCTTCCCTCCTTGCCTCATATGATGGGAATATGGTGGTGACGGGGATAGCCCACATCTTTAAGGGTATTCACTGCCCACTGTGTAGTTGGGGCCCCATACATTATTTCTACCCAAAATTTCTGATCCAATTTTAAACCTCTTCCATAGCTTGTTTTAGTTTCAATGTTTGTGTGCTAATACAGGCCTTACCAAGGATAAAAGGGGAAATGACAGCCTTAGACAGGGCTACTGCAACACTGGAGAGATCCTGTCAATTCACTAGGCATCTGAGGCTTTGCCAGGTTGTCCCAAAGTTACCAATCCACAGATAACCACAGGCAGTTACTGTCTGCCTCTCCAAATATTACACACGCGCGCACACACACACACACACACACACACACACACCATGAACACAGTGTCTCACTTCATAAACGTCTCTCTTCCCTGCTCCCTGCCTGCAGTGAGGCTGAAAATCTGGCATAAAGAGCCTGTGGAAAACCCACAGCACTTCTCTGGGAGATCCCTTCCCCTAGCAGGAAGCTGACACATACAGGAGGTGGCCAGTCTTATCCTGAGAAAGAGGCCTTTCCTTACTGAAAGGCCTGGCCATCCCAATACTAATTGGTTCATAGTGATGTCTAAGATGTTCCTACCCCATATACACACTTGGAGTTGACAGATGGGCAGACTGCTAAAAGAGTGGTGTGTCAAGTTTCCTGCCCCGAGGCAAATCCAGCCTATCCCCTTTCATGGCCACTAGGCAGGACTTGGTATTTGAAAGGCCAGGATAGTCCACAAGCCACAAAATTATGGAGACAGTAATGACTTCATGTTGGGCCTAATACTCTCCAAATTGTTCCAGAAACATCATCTACTGCTTTCTGGGGCTGAGAGTTTTCAGCTGGTGTAGAAGACTTGTGTTTCTATCAGGTGCCTCACATTTATGGATTGCGTCTCAGTCCATTGCAGATGTTTTAATAATATTGTTCTGAGCCAGTTTCCATTTATTCTTGGTCCAAAGAGCATTTTTTTTCATGTGGGATGTGGCTACTTTTGTTTTTGTTTCATTGATGACCTCTGTAGAGACAGGGGAAGAAAAACTAATATATTTTGTAATATTAATATAGTCCTTGTTCTCTGCTTTCTGGGAAATTTATGTTGTGTCTGTGGAAATGGGAGTTCAGTGAGCAATTCTGGGGAGGATGGATTTATGGAGAATGGGGGTATCTGGGGGAGGGAGACATGTGAATATAACAAGATGATGAACATGGGGCTTCAGTCAGAGAGGGAAGCCGGCAACTCCCCGGACCTCGACACTTTATGAGCTTTCTGCATAGAATCAGGAAAGTCAAGTGCTTGAAAGGTGTCTGCAGCTGAGCCCTCCGTTTTACCTTAGTACAAAAAGTACTAGTGAAGTGGGGCAACGAGCTGACCAGAAATCCTGCCGGGGAGGGACAGGGCTCCACCGCTGCAGACAGATGTGTGGGGTGGGACTGTAGGATTCAGGATAGGCAATCCAGACCACCTGGGCCTGTTTTTAAGGGCATTTATCAGAATGCTTCTGGGTGGTCAACCCAATGTCAATCCCCAACAAATGTGAGGACCAGGAACTATGGCCCAGGCTCTATTAACCTTTCCTGAAATAACCAAAGTGCAGAGAACCTAGCATTATATTTATATACTAAAGAGTCCAACCCATCTCTCTGACAAAAAGAGACCATTATCATTGGTATCTCAGGCAGCAGAAATCTCGGGAAGTTACCAAGAAAGGCTTATGCTTGTCTGGGTCCGGTGATCTTCCCAAGCACCTGTACAGGAAAGCAAAAATGGGACAGCAGAGGCTGGCCTGGGTTTGGTCAGGAATGGGTGTTCCACAAACACATCCCTATATAACCCCCAAGTAATTACACTCAAGAATCTTCCTGAGGGAAAATGGAAGGAGAAAATATTTTCCATTCCCCTTGCACAAGAACCTTGGAAATTAAGAGGCACTGAGAAGGGAGGCTTGTAAGCTCCTAGAGAACAAACATTTTAGCATAAGAGTAAGATTTCTTATGTACCATATTTGTGTTAATCAACATGGTTCTTCCCACCTAGAGAAAAAGTTGTTAGATCCTGGGCCAGGCCCTCTGGCTGAAGCGTGTTCTGCTAGCATCAGGCTATGAATGGTTGACCTTGGGGTTGGGGTCTTGTCTGGCATTCTCATATACATAGATATATATGTAAATATCTTAGCACACCGAATAACAGGAATGACTATGTACAGAGCAGCCTGTCCCCAAACTGCAAGGCCCAAAGCCACTGTGCCCACTCAGATGAGTCAGGTTGGTAACTCAACTTTGGGGACCGGCTCCTAGATTTGCCTCCCCCTCCTCGTCCAGCAAGTTGCACAGAACCCCCTCTGCTTCTGCCTTCTCCAATGGGAGCATTTCAGGGAGCCACCATCAGCCTTGAGTTCATGAGAGGAAGAAACCCTCACAGATCAATGCCTGGATCCCACTTCCTAAGCAATTCCTTCCTCACCACAGCAGGCTCCTGGGGGTAGAACACACTGCAGGGCACTGCCTCCCTGCATAAGGGTTTGCTTTCTGAACTTTGCCCATCAACATCGGCCTTCAGGGAGCCCAGAGTAACCTACTACCTCCCCCATCGCTCCTCCTCCCTCCTGCAGTCCCATCCACACAGGATTCGCCCTGTTGCACACTGAGGAAAACCTGCCCACAGAGCCCTGCTTGGGTCTCTCCCACTGGTGTAGCTGCCACCAATGTTTACAACCAAGGGCCACCTCCTCCTGATGTATTAACTCTCACCTTCATGAGGCCACTTGTTGGTTTGAGTTTCACCTCTGTCCACTCCTTCCCTGGTTAGGGTCCACTTGAGCACACGACTCTCATTTTTTCCCCCTCCATCAAGGCAGTGTGTGAGGACCATGTGGGAATGAAATCTCTGTACATACTTAGTACAGCACCTAGAGTGTGAACTTATACTACCGTTCTGTAAAGGGGGTGCATTAGAGCTTATTGTAAAGCATTGGGAGAGGTATAGTATTGTATTTGTAACAATATTGTTCTTTGTATACACAAAACTCAATGATCTCTATATATAAATATAAATAAATATATAAATAAAATATATCTACACATGAGCCTGGAATGTTGACACCGCACACCCACTGAATGTATTTCCTCTGACAGTCTGGTCACCGGTCCTGGCCCACTCTCCCTGTCTCTGTACCGTGGCCGCAGTTGTCTGGTTTGGGGTTGTGATGTATTTAATGTGCTAGCTCCTTATTTAACTGAACACTAATGTCTGTATAAGAGTTGCTGCAACAATAAACAAGGACTTCACCTCTTGGCCCTGGCTAAGTGCCTTATTATTTAAGGAAGGAACTGTACCCTCTGCAGGGAGAATTTTGTCTTTTACCTCCAGCTCTAAGGACCATGAAAATTGCTTTCTTCTCAGGTATGACTCTTGTAAAACTGGCTTGGTTTTAGATGCAAAAGGCTATGCTTGCCTGCCCCCACCCCCACCCCGTGTTGTCAGTCTCGGTGGAGCACACTGAAAGTGAGACGAGGCTCTCAAATTCAGACTTTGTACCCTTGTTGAAGGAAGAGAAACAGGAATTAATACGCATGCATGCACACACACACATACACACACACACACACACACACACACACACACGAATGGAAATGGTCTTTGCAGACGGCTGGAGCCAAAGTGGAAAACTGCCCCATAGGATCAACCCCATGCGATCAATCCAAAGGTTCTTTGAGAAAGTTCCAGAAGACTTTTACCTAGTACTCTTTGCAATCCCTCTTCTTGAAGTTCGGTTACATGCCTTTCCTGCTGCCGGGTGCATGAGCATACCCAGCTCCTCACAGAGTGCCTAATGCTGTTTCTAAGGCAAAAAGTGCTTCATACTTACTCTCTGAGGATATTCTTTTCCTTGGCTTCCCTAGAAAACATGTTCCTTTAGAGACTGTGCATTGGAACTATCAGAAGCCCTGGCAGGCAGAGGCTGGGGATTATAAAAGGACCTGTAGCAGCCTGCTGTGGTCTGGCTCCACTAGGTCTTTATTACTCTATTTTATATTGCTGTAACAAAATACCTAAGGTTGAAAAACTTATAAAGATGGTAATGGGGCACTACCATCCTCAGGCCTCTTGGGGCCTGCACCACCGGCTAACCCTCCTAGCCTGCACTACTATCCTCAGGCCTCTTGGGGTAAGTCTATAGTGCAGCTCTCCGCGCCGGGACTCCCTAAGCCACATTCACCCTTCCATCCCCCCGGAGTTCTATACTCCTAGTCTGGGCCCTGTGCCATTCCTAGTCTTGGGGCCCCAGACACCTGGGGAACCAATACTGCTTCCTGATCCTTCTCACCCAGACCAACTCAGTCCCTTTCTTGAGCCCCAGGAGCACCGAGGGCTTCTGGTCCTGGCCCCGCCCTCACCTCTCTCTGCTTCCCTGGGCCTGCACTACCGGCTAACTCTCCTAGACTGCACTACTATCCTCAGAACTCTTGGGGTAAGTCTACAGCGCAGCCCTCCGCGCTGGGACTCCCTAAGCCACATTCACCCTTCCATCCCCCTCGGTGTTCGCTACTCCTAGTTTGGGCCCTGCGCCATTCCTAGTCTTGGGGCCCCAGACACCTGGGGAACCAATACTGTTTCCTGATCCTTCTCACCCAGAGCAACTCAGTCCCTTTCTTGGGCTCCAGGAGCACCGCTTCTGGTCCTGGCCCCGCCCTCACCTCTCTCTGTGTCCCTGGGCCTGCACCACCGGCTAACTCTCCTAGCCTGCACTACTATCCTCAG